TGGGCTCTGTGGGCAGCAGGATCGCCAGGGACATGGGGGCTGTTTGGGATCCTGCCCTTGCTCAGCTGTGCCCCTCTGTCTCCTTCCAGGCCGTCCGATGAAAACCACCCCGAGGTGAAGCCTGATGCCTACGTGAACAACCTGGCTGAGGCTGTGGACATCATCCTGCAGGAGATGTAAATCCCAGCAGGAGCAGGGATGAGCCCTCACATGCAGCCCCTCCATGGAACCACTTCATCCTCTCCCACCTCCATCTCACCTGAATAAACCCAGCCCAGCCTTGTTCAGGGTGGTGGGCACTTGCCTTCTGAAATATTTCACATAATGGTACTAAGATGATCTCCTGACCTCCCACCCAAGGGAACACCAAGCCTGCTGTCCTCTGGCAAGTCTTGACTGCCCTGCCCTTGGTGCCTGTGAGGGGCCTCAGCCTCCTCTGGGTGATGCTGGGGGGCTGTTCCCCCTTTTTTATCTTTGCTCACATTGGGGAGGTGGGAAACAGGGAGCCTGGGCACCCCCTCCTGAATGGATTTACCTGTTTAACCCCCATGTCCTGTGCCTTTTGGGGTTCTTGTGTGGAATGGGGGATGTCCTTGGGGGCTGATGGAGGCCACCAAGCTCCTGTGTGTGCCTCAGGTGGCACAAAAGCCCTGGGGAGGGGACAGCCCCACGTGCCCTGGCAAGGCAGGAGCTGTGGTTCTGCCAGGACCAGCCCGTCTGGAGCAGCCCCAGGAGGGGGCACAGGAATCAGTAACACATTAGGGAATAACTGCACCATCCTGTCAGGAATAAACCCTGTCCTTTGGATCTGGCCTGGTTTGTCATTGTGTTCAGTTGGGTCAGCACTGGCAGAGGTGTTTACAGGACCTGAAATGCTTTTCCCTGCCTGGAAAAGCTGGAAAAGGCCATGGCACTGATGGTCTCTGCCTCCCCTCTGTGTGGGGGGCTTTGTGAGCAGCCTGTGTGGGAGGGAGTGTGGGTTTCCTGCCTTTCCCCATTAAAACCCTGGATGTGCAGTCCCTGAGCTGTTGGGGCTGAGTCAGACACAGCTCCAGCTGAAAATGGACTTTTCACAAGGGCATGTAGTGATAGAACAAGGGGGAACAGCTTCAAAAGGGCAGGTTTAGATTGGATATTGGGAAGAAATTGTTCCCTGTGAGGGTGGGGAGACCCTGGCACAGTTTGCCCAGAGAAGCTGTGGCTGCTTCATTCCTGGAAGTGCCCAAGGCCAGGTTGGATGGGGCTGGGAGCAGCCTGGGACAGTGGAAGGTGTCCCTGCCCATGGCAGGGGTGGAGTGCGATGAGCTTTAAGGTCCCTTCCAGCCCAAACCATTGAGGGATTCCAGGATTCTGTACTCACTGAACATCCCCTGAGCCTGATCCTGCCCCACGTGCCTGCTGAGAATCTGCTGCTGTAGCTCAGCTCCAGCTCAGCCCCCTCCTGCTGCCAGGACAGGCATGAGATTTGCCTTTTTTTGCTAATCAGAATAAGGATTTCTAAAAGGAGCTGCTCCCTGCCTCCAGGCACTGCAGCCCTTCCCCTGGGATCTTCGTTTCTCCCCCTGTCAGTTTTGCAGTGCAGCTGTTGCAGCATGTGTGGGAACACCTGGCCATGCTGCACCTGGCAAGAGCATGGAAGGGGCTCAAAATGGGTCAAAAAATTAAAATATTAGGGGTTGTTCCATCAAGTCCTCTGCCCACCCTCACTGACACATGGTAGTGTCTGCAAGGGTCACCTTTTAGAGGCAAAAATCCCCTTTTAATCAACATATCAGCAGTTCTGTACCCTCTTGGGCTTTGGGCAAGACTATTAGGGCTTCATCCTGCCCCAGATCTCCAGGGGACCATGGAAATCATGTAATTATGTTTGTGTTACATATATTTAATATACATCCATACTCTCAGGCAGCATGTGCTGGCCACTGCATTGTCACTGCTCTCTGCATCTGCAAGCAGGAGGTACAGGATAATTCCAGCTCTGTTTCCAGCAGTCCCAACAGCTGAAGATGACCCCACTCACTGAAGGACACCAAAATGATGCTGCCTGTTTCTGGAGTGTTGGAACACTTGTTTTTCAGAGCTACCAGCTGGCCCTGGAGCTGCATAGCACCCCTTGGGGACAGCAGGGGAAAGGGGGCTGGGAATTAAGTTCTAATAAAATAAACTACATCTGGGAAAATGACCTTAGTGCAATTTTTTGGGTCTGTTTTTGCATCTTCTGTCCTCTGGGTAGTGGTTCAGCCAAAGTGTATGGTACTGTCAGCATCCACACACATGGAAGATGCTAGAAACCCTGGTCAAACGTTCAGGCTGTGATGGATCACTGAGAATTTCTTTTTTAACCCCTAATTCTTCCCCTTTTTTGTGCTATTATACTAAGCCTATCACTTCAATCTGATTAAGTTTAGGCAGATAAACATCCTGCCATCTGTCATGAAAGTTTTACACTGCCTGCTGGAGGAAGTGCAGCCGTTTTCCTTTTTGGGTTGCAAAGGCTGCAGGGAGATACTGCCCTGTTTCCCCAAGAACTTCTTTAACACCCCCATGTGCCCTTGGCCTGCTGTGGGCTCTGAGTTTAGATTTGAGTTTAGATTTTAAGAGGCAGGATATTATGTTTGTCCTCAAACACAAAGAAGGAGGTGCTACTTGGCACTTCAGTTTGCATTTTGTTGTTTATGTCTTTGGCTGTGTTACAGCTCAATTACAGGCTGGGGGGGAGGCATGGGAGATGTCCCTTCACCATGGGGAGGGTGCAGTGTGCATATCTGCATGTGAATATCACAAAATGTCGATCTTCTCATGCAACCTGGGGAGGAGGCATGGGAGATGTCCCCCTGCCATGGGGAGGGTGCAGCATGTCTGTCTGCATGTGAATGTCACAAAATGTCCATTTTCTCATGCAACCTGGGGAGGAGGCATGGGACATGTCCCTTCACCATGGGGAGGGTGCAGTGTGCATATCTGCATGTGAATGTCACAAAATGTCCATTTTCTCATGCAGCCTGGGGAGGAAGCATGGGAGATGTCCCTTCACCATGGGGAGGGTGCAGTGTGCATATCTGCATGTGAATATCACAAAATGTCCATTTTCTCATGCAACCTGGGGAGAAGGCATGGGAGATGTCCCCCTGCCATGGGGAGGGTGCAGTGTGCATATCTGCATGTGAATATCACAAAATGTCCATTTTCTTGTGCACCCCATGGCTGGGACACCCTTCCTCCACAGACACCCCAAGGAAGGCTCCTGGTTGAAGGCTTTCCTGACTCCTATCCATTTTTTGGGACATCCCTTCCCAGCATCTAAGGAGATGTCAAGGAGCTGCAACCAGGAGAGGAGAGAAGGGGTCTCCATCAAACTCCAGCCCTATCAGACTCCAACCAGTGCCACAACCCTGAAGGTCAGCGATGTCCCCGTGTCCCCAACCCCACAGCCACAAGGACAGCACAGAGAGGCCAAACACAGCTTATTGAACCAGGAAGCTTTATTTACACAGTAAAAGTAACAAGCAATTTCCTGAGATTGAGCTGCTCTAGTGCAATCAAGTCATGGGGGGGGCAGGAGCAGCCTCCTGGCCCGCCCGGGGAGGGCACACCTGGGGCAGCCCCTCCCGGGACACGCTCGGCCCGCGGCGCTTGTGCAATTGCCAGCGAGACTTGGCTACTACAGGTCATAGCTTCAGAAGGCTTTGTTTTTATTCTTCTTCCCATCTTTCTGGTTTGTTTTGTTTTGTTTTGTGTATTTTTTTTTTTATTTGGCCATCCTCTTCTTTTTCTTTCTCGAACACGGAACCCACACACGCCGCAAAGCACTGCTACAATCCTAGAACATCCTACTGTCAGTCTGTTTGCCTGGGCAGCCAGGAGCTTTAAACAATGCACTTGAAACACAATTTTATTGGCCAAACAGGCTATGCTAGCACGTGGAAAAATTACAATCTATTTTACAAACGCTTCTTTTTGTTGGTTTCTCTTTTTTTCATGTACTCTTTCATAGGACAGGCTCAAAGAGCTACATCTGCAAAACACGCAGCAAAACTCCCGTGTGCCTGCTAAGACTTTCTGTGTTAAAATCCTATTTTTTTTCAGGATGAAGAACCTTTATTGCTGCTGCCACAGCTTTGGTGTCATCCCAAAACATCTGCTGCCCAGACTGGGTCACACCTTGGACAAGCCACTGAGTCCCTTCACAATAATGAACCTATTTTAGCTACCTAGCAAGGAATAACATCCCTTGTCTGCATATTCCTTTAGTATCACATTCTGGCAGCCAGCAGGGGTTTGCTCGGGGTTTGGGGGGCTCCCAAAATATCTCATAGGTGAAATCCTTTACAAACCAAGAGCAAGACCCCCAGGGGATGCCCTGCTCTCCCACTGCCTAGGGGACAGATCTCCTGACACCAGGGGAGCAACGCCACTTCTGACTTTACAATCAACAGGATGTCCCCTGAATCTGAGGCACATACTATATTATATTTAATATTTTTATTACTTTATTTATATATATATTTATATATATATAAATCCACAAATGTTTTACCTCTACAGAGAGAGAGAGAGAGACAAAAAAAAAAGTAAAAAGTAAGGCTTTCTTAAACTGAGAATAAGTACATGAAATCATACAAACCCAACAAGAAATACCCAACAGAACACCACTGTGGCCTCAAAACTGTCGCTAACTGTAGTCTGTGCCTACGCCAACGTGCCCAGTCTAAGGCCATGACTCATTGGAGAAGCATTTTTAGTAAGGCAAACGGGTTGTGCTGAATGTAAACTGAATGCTACGGCTACGTCCAGGACAGCTGCGCCGTGGCCCAGCGGCCACCAGGTCCAGGACAGCTGGGCCGTGGTCCCTTGGCCACCTTCCCACTCTGGGGATTAGTGTGGCACCAGGAGCAGCCCTTGGAAAGAAAACAGAAGCCCTTAGGAATTCCAGCCCTGGGGATGCCCAGGTGAGAGCCCAGGTGGTGGCTGGATGTGGGTTTGGGTGGATTTGCCCTTTGTTGCTCAGCTGGGGAGGTGCCTGTGGCCAGCAGGAGCTGTGTGCCCCCAGACCAGGACCTGTCAGTGGTGGGGAGGGAGGGATGGAGGGAGCATCAGGAAGACTCAAAGCCAAGAACTTTGCTGTGAGGGTGCCACTGCAGGGGCACAGACAGAGGGGCAGCAGCCTGGGAAAACACTGGCGTGGCTGGACCCTCCATAACAGGAGGGAGAAAAATTAACCCAGGATATTTTTTTTTCTAAGTGATGCATAAAGTGACACTTTAAAAGAGCTGGAGGGTTCTCCAAAATGAAAAGACATCCCTGTCATCCCCTCCCTGGATATCTGGGGCTTGTCCTGCTTGCCTGGAGGATGTGGACACAGCCACAGCCACCAGCAAAACCTCAGCAGTGCCAGGACAGGGGTAACAACCAATAGGTTCCACTGTGATGGGAGATGCCACATACATCCCAAACCACTGTGGAAAAAAGTGCACCAACAAAACCAGAAATGATGAATGAAACCTGTACCAGCAGCTCTCAGCCTTTCTGAGTTATGGACCCTCAAGGCATTGCCAGTGGGGCTGCTGAACCCCATTTAAAATGTCCTGTCTTCAGCTGCTCTTGGTATCAATGATTTTTTTCCTTTCTCAGGTTTGCAAAGCTCAGGAAGTGACCCCTGAGCTTGAACGAACCAGCAGAAGGAATCCAGAAGATGCTGGAAGATATTTGTACAGCTTTCCTAGAGCTTTCAACAAACAAACAAATAATAAAAAAAAAAACAACCCACCAGAGGGAGAAAAAAGAAATATGTGTCCTTCTAAACCTGTTAGCAAGTGGACAGCTTATTTTTAGCAAAGAGAATTCATATCGTACAAACATAATGGTCACCACTTTATCTGTGCTTTAAAAAGGCACAGGAAGAGGAAAAGCTTTCAGTGCTGCTACCTGGATTTTCAGCCTTTTGCCAGCTGACTTTGTCAAGTAACCCCTCCACGACGTGCCTTGGGCAGGCAGCCCTTCACAGTAAAGCCAAAAAAGAAGAGGGTGGCAGCCATGCCCTGGGTAACAAAGTGGGCATAGCTGCTGGTAAATGGGTAAACAGCCCAGCCCTGCTCAAAACAGGGTGTTGGGAACCCAAATGAGGGTGGCACAGAGCCTGAGTAGGGTTTTTCCCCCAAAAGAGTTGAGAGAGGGGGACTGGGAAGGAAAAAAATAGGGAAGGAAGGCATTTGAGCATCCCTGTTCAGCGCCCAGCAAGCGCTGCTGCGGATGCCGCCCCACATGGGCCAGGGATCTGTTTAATTCCTCATCAGGAAAAGGAAAACTAAAAATAAAGGAGTAAAAATCCAGCTCTTGCCATTATTAAATTTAAGCAAAAACACTTCACTTGTGATTTCCTCCTCATGGCACTGCCAGGGACATGAGGAGTGAGGGGGTGCTGGGGCCACAAGGGGATGTGGCCGGAGAAAAGGAACTGTGGCCACCCCAGTGCCACCAGCCAGTGCTCGCTTTGCAAATCTCAATATTCTGCTTTCTCCCCCTTTCTCCAGTCCCGGGATGGTGGTTTCTCCTTTCTGAACTAGCACAGGTGGGATCTGTGGGAGCATGGCCAGCTCCATCAGCTCCACCCCTATCCTGGCAAAAGCCATTTTCTCATGGATTCTGAGTTTTTGGCGATCCCTGTGCCTGGTTTCCCTGGGGACAGGCACTTTCCTTGGCCTGGCTGATCTCTGGCTACAGTAGTTACAAAGAATTTCAAGATTTACACACGCATGCACACGAATTCCTCTAAATACCTGATGAAATTTTGGCAAAGCTGCTTGGTCCCCTCCAGCTGGCAGGAGGGGAGCAGTGACAGGATCCCACAAACTCGCCGCCAGCCAGGAGCCCTCCCTGGCCCTGCTGGCAGCCCTCAGAGCCCAGGGCGGGCAGAGCTGCTCCCTCCTCAGTTGTTCTCGATCTGCTCGATGTCTAGCTCGCCATCCAGCTGGAAGAGGCTCTCGG